TTAAATATTAGGACCATTGATCTCGCGATTTTACATTTCTTAGATAAAGCACACTTAATGATATTGTATATGGCTTTAGTTGAACCTCATCTGACATATGGTATATTGAGATATGGTAGGGCAAGTGACTGTTACATGAAAGGTATAGAAGTAATCCAAAAATGGATATTGAAAATAATTTATAATGAAACATTGATGTGCCCTAGTGACCGTATTTATAGAATTGGTAAAGTAAATGATATATGACAATGTTATTGCTTAAAGATTTTAATGGCTATAAAAACAAATAAAATTAAGTTCAAGAAAATTACCTACTCATACTTACTCAACAAGAAAGAAAGATCCAGATGTCACAAAACCATTGGACAGAAATGTTATCAGATTTTGGCTCCCAATTACATAATGTACTCCCAGAAAACCTAAAAAAGGAGATTAAACTTCACAGATTTAAAAAAGATGTAAAGCACTGGATACTTACCACCGACTGATTGTTTTTTAAAGAATTAGTAGGTTGAAATGTGATAATTTCTTAATATACATATAGAGTTAATATACTTACTTATACCATAGATTAATAAGACGCAGATATAGATATTTTTTTTGTTAAAGTATTGCATGTGATGGGAAATGGAGAGAAGGAGGAGGAACTATAATTTTATCGCAAAAAAGCTGCAAAATATTGCGGTTTCTGCGATTCCCTTTGTTTATTTATGTGGAAATATGTGAACAAGTACTACATTGTATTATAAATTAAACAAACATTTTATTATAATTACTTTTATTATCGTTTTTTGAAAGTTAATTTCCAAGTCTACATAGAGAACTTAACTACGAAAAAAAATTCGAGGGAAATCAGCGAACTAAAAAATTATAAAAGGTGTGGCCGACCCTGAGGTCTCGGAAAGGGTTTCGCATATATTTGTAAAACACTTTTTTATAATCACTTGTAACGTTCAATTGCCAGTTAGCGATAGAGGCACAAGAAAATTAATTAATTAATTAAATATGGTCACCACTGTATATGCAACTCTTCACACTTTGTAAGAATTAAAGGCAGTAACACTGGTTGTGAACCTATTTAAATAGATTTTGTTTAGTTGAAAATTTTTATGTACAGAAAAATAAACGTAAATCATGTAAAAATATGGGCAAATATTTATAAGTATTAGTTTATCGCTTCCTATATTTCCCTAATCTCATAAAGTATGAAGAACATTTCAAATTGTGACTATCAACACAAAACTAAACTGCTGTAACAACAAAATACTGTTTAGCGGTATCCAACAAAGTTGATAAACTACAAACATTTATATCACAGTAATTAAAGATATTATTAAAATCGCATATCATCACATATATCGGTGATTTAAGTAATGTTAATGTAAACGGTGGGACATTTAAATGTTATGGCGTGGCGAAAATTCCATCTGGGTACATAAAAATTGATCTGAGAAAGTATGGTATTATGTAGTAATTTAAGCAACTGATGGTCGAAATCTAAAGCATTACGTTTTAAACTGAAGGTTTAAACAAATTTAAAGTCGTCCCTGGTGCGGCAGCCAGCTGTACTTTTGATATCGAAGTTGTCCCCCCCGATACAGCGCGAAAGCGCTGATGGCGGTTTTGAAGCTTTAAATTTTCTGAAATTAGTCCGCATACGTGCAAATACTTCCGGCATTTGTCGCATTTCATTAGCTGCAGCAAAAATACGTTGTTGAAGATCTGCTGCATTAACAATATACGTTCGGTACATATTTTGTTTCATACACGCCCAAATAAGAAAGTCCAGAGGGTTCATATCCGGACTTCGTGCTGGCCAACGTACAGGGCCATTTCAGGGAGTGTCACCATTATGCATGAAGAACATTTGGGCACGGAAGGGACGTCTTCCAACAAATCCGGTAAGGCGTTTGTTAAAAACTCTAAATAAGCACCACGTGCAGGTAACACTATCGGACCGGGTAATCTGTCACCACATCACACATTCACGTTATTTTCATGCCGTCATATTTTTCTTTATCGATAAAGCCGGCTCCCGCGTTTTGTCCGAAGCGGAGTTGGAGCTTTTCTTTTCGCATACGAACCGCTCCCGCGACCCGGTGACGTCCCTTTACGCCGTGGGAAGCCTTTCTGGTGCCGCGTCGCACCGTTCTCTCATCTATATCGCCCTCAACTTTTATTAGGTCAAATGCAACAAAATTTAAGACGAGATTACTTAAGGATATTCTGAAATAAACTGTTACCGTGGTAGAAATGTCAGAATTGACAAAACTGAATTTTCCGATACTGACGTTCCTCGCGGTGCCAGTACGGCGACGTTTTGTACTGAATTTACTAGCAGCACTGCGACTCGAGTGTCTTTATCACTGTCGTTTTTGTGTGGGCCTGGTACTAAATTAGCTTACTGTATGAGGCCTCCCTAGAGTGCTTATAAGCTTGGGGAGCTTTTTGCATTGCGCCTTGTAGGATGGACAATGTATGGCAGCTTTGTAGCTGTTATATATGGCAGCTTAAGAACTGGGTACCCTTTGAGAGTCTTTGTCACAGGTGGGACGGGCCCAGGCGGGTAGCTTGAGAAGTCATGTGAGTTTTGAGTTTTTGTGGCTGTTTTTAGAGAGAATATAGCTCGGGAAATATTTGAAGATGTATTTGATTTATTGATTATTTTGGCTTAAAATAACAATAAATGAGGACATGTAGGTATAGCATTGCAAAATTTGGATCGTGTTTACGAACTGGCCAGGTTCCGAATGCTGGTTACTGAACTGCCGATGGATTGTTTTGACGTTCGTTCACAAGCTGGTAGCTCTGTTGCGTTGTCCGTTTAGTGCGGCACCATTTCCACCTCTCGGATCTTCCTGTCCGTTTCTGAATCTCTGGAACTAGGTATCTTCTTGTTCTCGCTTTTAAGTATTGATTATTGTTGTTGGATTTCCGTTCGAACCCCGAAATTCGATGGGCGGGATGATTTTAGGCTGTTTGGAGAAGTTTTCGGCATAACGACGGGAATTTTGGAAAGTTAGATGAAACTTTGCATTCGTTCTGGGTTTCTCTATCAAGAGCATCGTCCTCCGTGTCAGCTACTGCGATTGGAATGGTTTGGCAGTTGCTTGGAGCGGTTTTGGGCGCGTCGACAAGAATTTTGGAAAGTGAGGTGATATTTTCAATTTCGCGCTGCGCCCTCTGCATCACCGTGCCCTGAGTCCTTCAGAACGTCGTCCTTGGCTCTAGCTACGATTGGCTCTGCAGGGAACGATTGGAAACATGAGTGAATTTTTGATAGCCATTTAAAAGAAAGGTATACACTACATTTGTCTTGCATAGTTTATAAAACTGAAACACTTAAATTCCCTGTTTATCTGTATAACATTTGTACTTGGTTCCAAAACACAAATCTGCTCAGTTTCGGATTCTGTTTCGTATAACGCTGTGAAGTTATTTTACAAAATCCCTAAGAATAAAAAAGGTGCATAAAGTATTTTGTCGTTCCGTAGACAGATGAAGCAGCTCCTCGTATCACAAAGAAATTTATAGGCCTGTATATATATAGTATAATATGTGTCTTTTAATTAATTACATCTGTCCCTCTGTCCAGTTTTTTAAGTTTCGTGCTCTTTTTTATGGTTTATCATACTATTTTTGTTCGTATTTATTATAATCTATAATCAGTTATACTATCACAAGAGCATAGAAAATATTCGATTATACTTCCGAGTCACGAGACGTATTCAGTTATAATATCACAAGAGCATAGAAAATATTCGATTATACTTCCGAGTCACGAGACGTATTCTGCGAAACACCACGACAGCGTAGCTGGAGTGGTGTTTTAAGGATATACGTCGAGTGAGGAGGTTAGTATAATCGAATATTTTCGTTTGCTCGAGTGGTATTCTATACGATTATATAATTCAGAGCTTGAACCGAAGCGTTCCATTTTTTTTTTGACGTTTATTGACAAATGTTAAAACTATCGTTACCATGACATAGTTCACATTGTTGAAGGAGGCGAAACACCAAAACGGTTATACCACGTCGCCAAGAGTATAATCGCTTATCAATACATAGTAACTACGTAAAATTTGTAATTGCTATTGGCTAAATTTCTAATGAATTATATAAACACACAAAGAGTCATCAAAAATTATATTATAAATTTGATTTAATTTTTCTTTTGTACAAATTCATATATTGTGTAATAAAGACGACGCCGACGACGACGCCGACGACTACACCACTACTACTACTACTACTACCGCTACCGCTACCGCTACTACTACTACCGCTACCGCTACCGCTACCCCTACCCCTACCACTACCACTACCACTACCTACCACTACCACTACCACGACCACTACCACTACCACTACCACCACCACCACCACCACCACAACCACCACCACCACGACCACCACGACCACGACCACCACGACCACGACCACGACCACCACGACCACGACCACCACGACCACGACCACTACGACCACGACCACGACTACTACCACTACCACTACCACTACCACTAGTATTATTATTATTATTATTATCATTATCATTAACATTATCATTATCATTATCATTATCATTATCATTATCATTATCATTATCATTATCATTATTATTATTATTATTATTATTATTATTATTATTATTATTATTATTACGACAATATCGTATCTCATACACTAGAAGTGTATATATGAAAGAGATAAATTTACAATAAAACTGTGTTTATCGCTGTTATTTTCAAGATATGAAGAATTTTTTTTTAGTTGTTTTTGATTGCAAAATCTATATTAATCAAACATGCTTGTCAACAGCAAACAACAAAAACTAATATTTTATACCCTTAAATATAACTCCGAGGTTCACTATTCTGGTGCTACTGATTTCCCCCTACAGCCTATCGCCTTCCTTTTAGTACAACTCTGTGTACGAAATATGTAAATGTGCATACGTATATAATTTACAGTAGGTAATAGGAAATTATTTGTTTCAGATAAACAATATGCTTCTATGCCTTTGGTATTTCATCAGGACAATTTTGATCGATGCATGTTATTGGAGGAGAATGCTTTATACTGTTCTTTTACGTTTGAATTAGAGCCCCTAAATCCTTCCAACGCATCGGAAACATGGAATATCATAAGTGTATGTATCTTGTTTCTAATAAAAATAGAAACTTAAAAACTATTATTCAAAAGCAAGATTTATTTATGTTACAAATCAAAAAAAATCGGTAGTAGCCTTAGATGAAGCAGATTGACCAAACTCATCTTATCAGCGAAATCAAGAAGAGAGTCTGTATTATGTGTGACAAAAACAGATGACATAATGGTAGGGCAGATACCCTTCTGTGCAATGTTGTGCACACCAATGTTCACCGTTCGATGCTCAGAGAGAGAATGAGCTCCGATATCGGTCTCGTGACGCGCATTTGACAAGATGAATTTGGTCAAGCTGCAGAGGGTTTTCATTAAAAAGATAAACTTAGAAAAACAAAATATAACATTTATTCAATAAAATTTTCACGCGCGCTCGCTGAAAATAACATCACGCCGTTGTACTATCTGGCACTTTCCGTGCCCCCTACGCGCGCGTGGCGCTATTGGCAACTTTTCCTCACTCGTTACACAATGTACTATTACGCCAGTTTTTGGGTATTTTGCTATCCTATTTTAAAAATGTTACTTTTTATTCAAATACCTTAAAAATGTTTATGGTTATGTTATAATGCAGTAAGATTTAAGGAAAATATTATAAACTGACAAAAAACAAGCATAAACCTCTGAGTTACTCAGTAGGTATGCTCTTCTATATGGCAGCATATTGGTAGAAAATGACTTGGAACTGCTGTTTACGGTATTGTAAGTATAATGTAATGCTGGTATAGCCAGATAGCCTGCATAATAGTTGTTTAATGCAAGACCCATCAATTGTTTGCAATATCTATTCCAGTCCGATCTGTGCCTGATGGGTTCGACATTTATATATATAGAAAAACCGGTGAAATATTTAGAATGCTGTCAATAGTGCTAATAGCTAATATATTTAAAAAACTGTGTTGCTAACAAGCTTTCATAAATGTTTCCATTCTCAAGACATAAAACATGAGACTATATTCAAAATCGCCAAAAAACGATAAAAGATCATTATTAAAATTTTGTCAATTCACTTACATACAGTAAAAATACAGTTAAAGTAAAAATGAGTAGTTGTTTCTTGCAATACTGGAAATTTAAAACATTTCGTTTTCACCCAGTAGGCGACGGTCGTGCAAATAAGTGTCTGGCAAATTTTAGCAGGTCACTTCCTACTAGTAGTAGCCATGGTGAATGGCGTAGTTGGGAAGTAGTACGATAGATGGAGCTACTTACTCTCTGTCTATACACATCTTGTAGGAAAGATCATATGGGTGGATTGTATTATTCACTGGCCTAATCTCGATGTTTAAAGATGGCAACGACTAGATGTAAGAAACAACACGCCACAATGAAGACGGAAGACGACTAACTACAACTACTATGTTGAAGGGCAGCGGGCACACGCGCTAACTAACGCCGCGTTTTTGCGCCTACCGTCCTTTGATTTAGATATGTGATGTTTGGAAATTCAAACACATCTCCTTGTCGTGAGTGTACGATACTAAAGCAGCCAGTTCGTTCGTCGGTTGTCTCGACATACGACACACTGATAAGGACCAATAAGTCGGAAACCAGTCTATGTCTGGTCGGTTAAACTGATGAAAGGTCCTAGCTGGTGTACTAGGTGTTCCGGGTATAATCCAATGCCAGTCGGGGCATGTAGCCCGCGGAGTAGTTGTTTCTCGCAACACTGGAAATTTAAAACATTTTGTTTTCGCCCAGTTGGCGACGATCGTACAAATTAAGTACCTGGGTAATTTTAGCAGGTCACGTCCTGCTAGTAGTAGCCATGGTGAGTGAATGGCGTAGTTGGAAAGTAGCACGATAGGATGGAGTTACTTATGCTCTGTGTATAGTAAAAATATCAATAATGCAATAACTTTCTTTAAAAACAATTTTTCAGTCAATACAAACATTGAAATAAATTATAAAATTAAAAGTCACTGTGAACCAATTTGTTTTAGTGATGGGAATTTTAGTTCATCCTACTGAATTTATTCTTTCGGTCTCATTCACCCAAGTGAATCCATTCACTTGAATGATTCATTTGATTCAGCTAGTCAAGAGAAAATCGTCTTGTGTCTTACATCGTTTCAGAATATGAATACTATGATATGAACATGGTTCCATATTATATCACTTCGTTTTTTCGATGATATTGTTCTGCATCTAATTCAATTCATGTATTTCACTATTACATTATAACATTTTTAAAATTTACCTACCTTATTCTTACAGCTTTAGCTAATTATCAAAAGCTTAAAAAACCGTGGGGAATATCATAAACAAAAATGTGTAAAATATTCCAAACAAAAACACAGTAACACTTATAATGGCCTACGAGTTTTAGAGGGTCCCTATGTTGATCCCGCTTGAGATGATGGATGTTGCTAATATATATATA